CGGACCTCACGAGCGACCCTCGCCACCAAATCCCTGCCCTGGTTGGAGCCCCCCTGCGGGCACCACGATCTGAAGACGGGCAGCGGCAGCTCCGCGCCGCCCGAAAGCGACTGGCAGGGTGGGCACAGGCTCCCTAACTGGTGAGGTGGCGCAGGAGAACCGGAAGAAACCATCCCGGGAGCCACCGGGCGTTCAGCTTCCTTGGGCCCCAGGCGGCTCGGGCCGGGTCGCAACAGGGCGTTTCTGGGTTTCTGAAGCAGGCGAGGGGCAGGGCAGGCGGATGAGAAGCCATTGGTGCTGTCCTTCTGGCTCCAGAACTCCCATATAGCGCATGGTGTGGCTAACGTGGACCAGGCGACTCACCGCGCCTCCAATCTTTGTTGCGATTTTCCAAGGGCCTTGTTCAGTCGTCCTGCCTGGAGGGACGATTGAGGATGGGACGGAGAAAGTTTAGTGAGTGCGCCCTTCCTGGTAGGGGCCGCTCGGAGCTGCCGCTGCGTCTTCAGTCGATGTGGTCCGCAGCGCCCATTGGGGGGCAGTTCACCGAGGCTCACGTGGAGTCTCTGTGGCGCAATCGGTGTAGACATCGTTCGGCTGGGAGGGCTGAGTCCGAAAAAGGTGTCAGCAAAGGGTGATGGGATTATCATTGGTTCTTACAGGTTTTGGGATAGGCGGTGAGGTTAAGAGCAATGTTTTGGGGGCATGGGATGAAGCTCACCAAATACATTCTCGAGGGTGGGGAGAATTACAAAGAAACTTCTTAAGGGTTTGGGGGATTATAAAGAACCTACGTAAGGGTGGGGGAGATTACAAAGTATATTGATCTGTTAGGGTGGGGCAGAAACAGATCACAATGGTGGAATGTCATCAGTTAAGTTATTTTCACTTTTGTGGATCTTCAGTTGCTTGAGGCCATCTGGATGTACACGTGCAGGTCGCTGGGGATATGATGGCTTAGCTTGGGCTCAGAGGCCTGACAAAGGGGTTTCACCATGTCAGTCAGGCTGGTCTTCAAACTCCTGACCTCAGGTGATCTGCCTCCCTTGGCCTCCCAAACTGTTGGGATTACAGGTGTGAGAGGCTGCGCCCGGCCTTGCTTGCTTTTTTTAATCTTACTTTTTGTTTTGGCTGCTCAACTTCTGCCTTTTATCTTGCTTCTTGCTCTCCTGCCCCATCACCTTGCTTCTGTTTCTGCTTTTACTCATTCTGCCTTTCATCCAACTTCCAATTCCCTCTGCTGTTCTGCCTCACAATGGCACTTAGTGAGGGAGGGGTTTTAAGGGGGCATGTCCGACTTCCTATCCTGCCACAGCCAGAAACATTTTTCAAGGTTTCTCTGCGGTCCTGTCAGTCAAGAGGGAGTCCGTTCAGTTGGTTGTAGGGCCTAGGGCTTATTTTTATTTCTCAGTCCTGACAAGGAAAGGCTGGATTAATGCAGATTCTCTGCAGGTGTAAATTTCCTCTACAAAAGACAGTTTTGCAGAGTTACTTCTGTTTGCTGGCTCTCTGGCAGCATTCTTAAAATATGCCAAAGACACATATTCTGGGGTAAAATATTTTGATTTTCTTCATCTATCTACAACTTCACGGTGCTGACAGCCTCCAATCCAAGCATACCTGAAGCCTTTTTTTTTTGAAACAGAGGCTCACTCTGTCACCCAGGCTGGAGCACAGTGGTGAGATCTCTGCTCACTACAAGCTCCGCCTCCTGGGTTCATGCCATTCCCCTGCCTCAGCCTCCTGAGCAGCTGGGACTACAGACTCCTGCCACCACTCCTGGCTAATTTTTTTGTCTTTTTAGTAGAGACGGGGTTTCACCTTGTCAGCCAGGATGGTCTCCATCATCTGACCTTGTGATCCTCCCGTCTCGGCCTCCCAAAGTGCTGGGATTACAGGCATGAGCCACCGCACCCGGCCTGAAGTCTTTCTTTTTAAAAAGCTTTCCCACCCTTCTCACCGCCTTCAAGTCTCTGCCAAAACACAAGTAACAGTGGCTGATTCCCTGCTATAGCAAGCTCAGAATAAATAGCCTTTGCTTTTTTTTGTTTGGCTGGTCTTTGTTTACTTGCAGAAGCTTCAATGTAGCGTTGACAAGGACTCTATCTTTGACCAAACCTTAGTTGCCGCTGAACCCTTTTCTCTATTAGTTCTTGGCCTGCCAAGTCCAGTTTTAGAAAAGAGTACTGCTGAGTCTAGTTTAGCAAGAGTCCTCGCAACCACTTTTGATAGCTAATCAAGTTCCTCTTAGTAATTTTCATCACAACTATTCTTATCTGCCGATTGGCTATACACCTATCGACTTCTTTTTGCCTGTATTTGGCGAGTGAGCTCGAGTTCCTCTGCTCGTCTACTTTTGCCTAGCTGTAGTTACCATACAATAAAAATCCATCTTCGAGGTTTTTTAACAGTGTCCAGAGTGGTAGTTCTCTCTGAACTACTTTGCCAAAATTCTGGGACAATAAGAGAACGCTGACACGGCTGACTCCATCTTGGTTCTAGCCTCACAGACTACCTGTCTTTGCTCATTCCTGTGCAATTTCTCCCAAGCGATCTTTGGGAAAAATTGAGTTTATAGTTTAAATCAGGGATCCCCAAACCTCAGGGTCACAAGACAGGTACTGGTCCATGGCCTGTTAGGAACCCAGCCGAACAGCAGGAGGTGAGCTGCAGGCTTTCAAGCATTACCATCTTGTCAGGTCAGCATCGGCATTAGATTCTCATCGGAGCTCAGACCCTATTGGGAACTGAGCATGTGAGGGATCCAGATTGCGCACTCCTTATGAGACTCTAACTAATGCCTGATGACCTGAGGTGGAACAGTTTCATCCAGAAACCATCCACCACCCCCTTCCATGGAAAAATTGTCTTCCGTGAAACCAGTCCCTGGTGCCAAAAACATTGGGGACAGCCAAAAACGTTAGTTTAAATGATAACCTTCCCCAAAACTAAATTACCCCTGTAAAACTAATGAAAGGCCACCAAGTTAGGAGGATGAAAGGGGCATGAATTCTGCTAAGATATATGCCTCATTAAATAATTACCAGTCATTATTCCAGAGGTCACAAGATTTGCAGCTTCCCCAATTACTGCTGTGAAGAACATCACTATTGTAGAACCTAAGATTGAACTCTTGAGATTTCTTTTCAGGCTTTTGCATGTCTGACTACTGGATGGCACCATTTGGCCCGAAAATCAACCAGTCCCTTAGCCCCCACCCAGAAGTTTGCTCAGGGCAGGAGGGTCAGTTTCCACATCCCCCAACAATCAGCACTGCCCAAACCCTAGCCCCCTCCCCACCAAACTGTCTTTCAAATACCTTACCTCCAAGCCTTCAGTGAGATTGATTTGAGTAATAACTCTGTCTCCCACAGGTTGTGGCTGGCCTGTGTCAATTAAACTCTTTACTGTAATGCCATGGTCTCCATGAATTGATTTTGTATGTACAGTGGGCAGGAAGAACCCATCAGGCGGTTACCTCTGCAGGATGGTGCCAGTTCTTTCCACAAAGGCTGGTCAGATACCCAGAAAGTATTTCTCCACTACTACCTGGACAATGTGTCTCCCTGTCAGTCTCCAGGGAATGGGGCCTGGATCAAGTATTTAGTATTCAGCAGTTGCTACACTGTCACCTAATCCCTCATTTTCAATATTTTGCCATGCCTTCCAGTGGCCTAACTGGCCGCCATGCCACAGAATCTTTACTTTATGGTCTCCAAGGAGAACTCTCCACTCGATGTTTTGTGATTTGAGCAATGGGATAGAATCTGATACTGGTGGGCTGAGGGAGGTCCCCGGATGCTGGTGGGATCTCGACCCCAGCCATGGTGTCCAGACTCTTGACACCATTTCCAGAAGGAAGTCAAGGATGAGTCAGCAAACAGTGAAAGAAGAGATTTATTGCAAAGCAAAAAGTACACACTCAAGAAAGGGGAGTTTGGGCATACCCGAGAGAGAACAATGGGTTCTGGGGTTTCATCTTGATGGATTACTTTAACCAAGGAGTGGAATATTCATGACAATTCCTGGGTAAAGGTGGAGATGTCTCGGAACTGTGGTGCCATCCATTTTTACATCAAACATTGGTCTCAGAACTGTCATGGCACTGGTGGGTGTGTGATTTAGTATGTTAATGAGCATATAATGAGGGCCTAGGTAAAACCTCCATCAAATCAAGCACCACATTGGGTCGGGTCAGTCTTAGACAACTTGGTCCACATTGGTTTTTCAGCGTCTTATCAGCCCATAGCCTCAAGTCAGGTAAATCTGCTGCCTAGAATTTGTTATCCTGTGACCACCCTGTATTATTCGTGTCTCAAATCTGCTTGTAAATATTCAAATGGTTTTTGACTTGGGCATTCCAACTTTGCTTACTTCACAGTGTTTCCTGTGTTGTAATCCAATATAAGAAAAGATGATCCAGACATTTGTTAAACATCACAAATAAGATGGATCCCAGGTATTTGTGTCAAATTTGGATTATTTTGGTTTTGTGTTTGCAGAATATAAAAAACTAACATGAGGTAAGCACTAAGGTCTGGAGATGGCTGTGGAAGAGATGACAAAATCCAACACCACGCTTGAGAGTGTCCAATCATCTCTTCTGGGACAGCATATTTTTCTATAATACTGAATTTGGGGGGAAAAAAAAAAAAGAAAAACCAACTACAAGATTCATGAAACTAGACAACTGTCTTTATAACATTACCAGTGATAAAACCAGTAAGGAAGGCTGGTTTGCAGTCATCTGAGCAGTCTCTTTACTTTCATAAATATGGTTTCTCTCTGATATTAAACGGCTTCCAATTTCAAGCTGAATGCTACATCTCAACGATAAGGATGTGAAGAGAAGCGGTTTCTTTTGTAATCCTAAACGTTCTAGTCTGCGAATTAAAAGTCATTATTTGAAGAAGGATGTCCAGGCTTCATCGGGCCACCGAAAGGTTGTTACACAACACAGGTTAAGCACCAGCTTCTTTGGGAGAGAACAGATGCGGGGGCGGAGGAAAAAAGGGAGAGGCAAACGTCACTTCCCCTTGTGGGCTCCGGCAGCGGGTTGGTCCGCTGAGTGGAAGAAAGGCAGACGGGGACTGCGAAAGGCACTGTCGGTGACATCACGGAGACGGCGACTTCTATGTAGATGAGGCAGCGCAGGGGCTGCTGCTTCGACATCTGCTGCTTCCCCACGAAGGCGTTCCCCTGCCGTGGGAGCGGGTTCAGGACCGCTGGTCGGACCTGAGAGTCCCAGCTGTGTGTCAGGGCCAGGAGGGCTCCAGAGTGCGCGGGGCAAGTGACCGTACCTGTAAAGGGTGAGACGTATGAGGCTGTGGCAGGGCGGAGGTACAAGAGCTCATACTTACCTGGCAGGGGAGATACCATGATCACGAAGGTGGTTTTCCCAGGGCGAGGCTTATCCATTGCACTCCGGATGTGCTGACCCCTGCGATTTCCCCAAATGTGGGAAACTCGACTGCATAATTTGTGGTAGTGGGGGACTGCGTTCGCGCTTTCCCCTGACTTTTTGTAGTTTAAAGAGTAGGCTTTATTCTAAGACTTACATTAATTCTTTTATTGGTTTGTACCTTGGTCCTAAGTGTTATTCTTAGTTTCGGACGCTGGGGAATGTGAAGTAACATGTCATGTCACTGCAGAGATTGGTACGTGGTCTCCAGGGTCTTTGGATTCTCACGCTCTGTGAAAATCTTGGTGTTTTTAGTCCTGGCAATTCCCTTAATCAACTCCTTCTCTAAGATGGGCACTGGTAAATTACATCTCTTTTTAATCCCAGGAAATATCTAATTGGTTTTGGTCCCTGTACTACGTGATACTAGTACACTACAGAAGAAAACCCGCAGGCCTAGCGATGCGGTTTCTGGGCATTGTGCCCCAGCCTTCTCCAGTGTTTTCTGGCCTCCACTACTTTCCTGATCAACTGAGGTCAGCGAGTTCCAGACAGACCTGACACAATGGTGAGACACTCCGTCTCCTACCTCAAAAAAAAAAAAAAAAAAAAAAAAAAAAAAAAAAAAAAAT